CGTCTTTATAAAACTGACAAGAACTAGCCCTCAGGTCATTTGATTTGCAGCTCCATTCTGCCAGCTTCTAAACTGAAACTGACATGGAGGAGGAGCTGGGAAAACTCAAAACCACCAAGTTTAGAGTCTCCCATGATAAAACTCAATGATTTAAAAATAAAACAGTAATAAACACCTGGAGGCCCACCTGAGCTGGTTTTAGAGGAAGATGTTGGAAAAACCTCAKCTTCACTGTCATTAAAGCACCAAATGAGGAAACCTGTTTAAAAAAAKGCCCAGAACTCGACTGGGACACTTTTATCTTCCTTTTCCTGTGATTTTATCGTCARTCTTTGGAAGAAACATTAAAAATAATTGCACCGTAATTAAAAGTCCCCAATCAGCATTTTAATCAAACATAATTTTGTGTTACATTTAAAGTCTCATATCTTGAGATTTAACTCCTAGGTATGTTAAAAAATGACAACAACAACAAAAAAAAAAAAAACTATTTCCAGCCCTTTTTATTTTTTATTGAAGTTTCAGATCTGTTCTTCATCTCTGCCCTGATGGGAGGTTTCCTGTGTGACTCTGGGATGTTGTAACAGCTGGTCTTGTGGCTGCGCAGACAAACACACCGTATCTGCTCTCAAAAGAGGAATTTCTACTCATGTTTACAGATACCGTTTTTTTTTTTTCCTCAGGACCTTTGTGGCATCGTGTTTGAAAAATAAGAAATGTAACTAAATTCTTGGCTCGTGGGTTGGCGGTGTTGTGTTCTGACTTGCTTCTTTGGGTGGTTTGTATGTCAGGACGCAGACAGGAACAGATCTCAGACCGGTCTCGGCATGCAGGGCTCCCGGTTTTGTGTCGTTGGCTCTGCGGTGGGGTGAGGCAGCGCCGCTCATTGGGTAATCCCGAGAGACTGAAAACAGGATGTTACTGACGAGCTGTCAAAAGAACATCTGATTGTCCTGCTGCTCTAAAATCAGATGATCTCAGTTGTGCCTTCTGTGTGGACATAGATGGATGCAGTTGACCTGTTCTATTGCTTTTTGCCTTTTATAAAGTAAAGGAAATATTGTTTGCTCACTTTAGTGCTCGCTGTGCTGCCAGATTTCCTTGGAAAAGACGCAGTGAATCAGGTTTTAATAAGTGAATAGTTGCTGTTATTTAACTTTTTAGCTGAACTCTTTGTTCAGTTTGTGCAGGTTTGGTTCTGTGCCGCACTAAACTGTAAATAAAGCTTTTTCTCTCAGAGCTGCTGAAGCAACATTATCTGAACTCACATTCCTGCATAGCGATGTGAGATTTAGTGCTGCACTGAGAATCCTCAGAGCGCGATCAGCTCGTGCTCTGAATGTAAACGCATACTGGAGTTTTGTTGACATTTTGTGAGTGGAAAACATCCGGCACTATTTTCAGGTCTTTGAAGCTGCAGGTTGAGCTCTGAAATGATGCGAAGTTTTCCTGCATATTTTTTATATATATAAAAATAACAGCTACACCTACAAACAAAAAGCTTTTCAGTGTAAAACCTGTTTTTCCAAACACCCCTGTGACCAAACATGGAGCTGAGGTTAAAGAGAGCCACACCCAGAGAGCTTCAGTTGATCTATTCAGGCCTCGAGGTGTTTTCTTTCTTCTCACTGCCCTCTGCTGGAGCCTCAGCTCAGGTATCTTCAGCTGTGATTCATAAAGAATAAAGCTCCTTATCAACAATTACTCACAATAAATCAGAAAAACATACATAAATGTCAGATTTTAACACCATAAATTCCAAMACGACRACAACTTTCTGCTCATATTTATTCTCTAATTGACATGTTTTCACTTTTTACTAATTGTTTTTGATTTTGCTGTATTATACAARACAATGAAGTCAAGAAATATTAGTGCATAAAGAATAAATAACTAGAATATTAGATGTATATAGATGTTTACAAATCAACCAGAACATTACGACCACCAATGTGTAAAGTGCCCATCCCCCAACTTCCTCTCAGGGCACCAGCGCTCCCTAAAACATCAAACGTCCCCTCACCCCACCACAGCAGCAGCAGTCCTCACAAACATTCAAAGGTATTAACCTGTCCAGGTCTCTAGACTAACTTTTTGCACTGGTTGCACCGGTGCACCCAACATTTTTTCTTAGGTGCACCATTACAAAAGTTAGGTGCACCCAAATTTGCAAACGCRTCACAATTAACATTGATGTTTTAATGGTTCACTTTTTTTAAAACCATTGTCCATAAAGGCAATGATAACTCACAAATAATTCCTTAAAAGGGGCAACATCATGTAAAAT